TGTTTCTTCGCAGCGACGCCGCTGCGCTTGATTCTGCGCGACTCCCTGAAGTACGCGCAGAGGAGATCGAGTTCGCTCGGGCCTTGTGCGACGGTCGATGATATCTCTGTCGAGGCAATAGGCCCCGCGTGCCGAGCAGAACGTCGCCTCGGCCATGCAGCCCCATATATGCGCGAGAGGCTAGAGTGGGCAGGCCTAGTCATCTCGGAGAAGAAGGGGCATACCGTTTCGTTCAGCGGCGGCCTGTCCAAGCGATTGCAGGAGGCCTTGTCAAGATTGCGCGCCCGCGCCTGCTCTGCGGCTGCGACCTCGGGCACGATTTCGGGGCGCGCGCAGGGGGTGGCAAGCAGACGCTGAAGCAGGGCATCTGGGGCATAAGGAAGAGATGAGGTCGATTTCGAGCCAGGGCACATCACCGCCGGGGGCTCAGGCGCGCGTTCAGAGCAGGAAGGGTAGCGGCAGCGCCTCATGGGGTATGAGTGCGGGCCATGCCAAATTCCGATTTGGCCAAATTTGGATCCGTGGCACCTCTCCCTCTCTCTCTCTCTCTCTCTCTCTCTCTCTCTCTCTCTCTCTCTCTCTCTCTGCTCGTAACAGCTATGGCTTGCTCGTGGACCCCCCCGACCTCTGCCCCTCGTTTGCCGCCGGCGCGCGTCTTCTGGTCGCGTGGCGCACCGCGCTGCGCCGAGAGCGTCTACCTCGGCAGACGTTTTTCGAGGCCGCGGCATCGTCGTCGGCAGCTGAGTGGATTTCGGCCACAGGTCTAGCTGTCGCGGTCGCCCAGACCCTCGCGCACAGTGGCTGTGCCACAATAGACTACGCAACGTGGCCGGGCCTCTGGGGCCTGTTGGTTGACCCCCACAACATGGCTCCCCAGGTCCCGGAGAGCCCCGCGCACCGTTGCCCCCAAAGGTCCCAAGAGATGGAAGCCCAACCGCATTGTGGATGCGATATCATACCGCGCTGCGAACCGATTGAGCATGAGCTTCGGCGCATGAGTGGGCGGGGTGGGCATGCCCGAGCAGATCTTGTTGTAGCGCGCATTGCCAGAGGCCTCTGGACCCATAGCATGCTCTATAGTCGACCTCGTTCTTTGTTGGCTATATCTGCGCCGCTGGCGCGGAGCTACGGCAGGCTCAGTTCGACGCCGAGCTGACGAATGCGACCGTCCAGTTGCGCGGCGGCGCGATCCCGAGTTGGATGAGATGGGTGTCGTCCGTCGAGAGTCAGAAGACTGCCCGCTGATCGAATGCGCTGTCACATTCAGTGGCCGAGATGAGATCCCCCCTGCTTGTCGCGGGGTCGGAAGCAAAATATATGATCGCGGAGCGTTTGGGTGCTGATGGTCACCGGCTAACCTAGGTCATGGTAATGAATGAGCGCGCCCTTTTGAAACAGACTATTGAAAAAGCGAGGACATATTAAAGCGAGAAGCGGATTTATGAAATCGCGCCGCCTAATCAAAACAAGTTAAAACATTATTGGGTAAACGCAAAGCCAGTAGACAAAATTCAAAATCGGATGTTCTAAATCCGGGCCCCTTCTTCTAAATTCCAAATCTTATCATTATCGTGACCTGCATGGCTCGATTAGATGGGGCATCTTAGCTGGACGATGTTCGTTGACGGCTCAGGTTTGGATCCTCATGCCAATGCCGAGTGCCAAACAGTATCGGGACGGTCGCGCACTTCCTTGGTTCCGGTCCAGTACCCCGTGGAGCAGGTCACGCGTGCTATGGGCCAACGCCTGGCGCAGTGCAGAGCTCGGGCCTTGCCGGGTATACAAGTGGCTCGTGTGTGCCCAGGCTCATACAACAAACTGAAGGGGCGTTTGAAGCAAGAGTGACATGCAACAGCGAAGTCGCATTCGAGCGCAAGTGGGGTTGCCACACCTTGTGATGTGTGTACTAGGGCCCCCCAGGAAGCCTCAGGAGGCCCGACTTGGATACCAGAAGAGGCTCCAGGAAGCCCCAGAATTATGAGTATTGTGTGTGTGTGTAATGTGTGCTCTGTGTTGTGCGTGTTTGTTGTGCGTTGTAGGTGTTGTGTGTGTGTATGTGTGTGTGTTTGTGTGTGTGTGATGTTTGTTTAGCGTGTGATGTGTTGGGCGTGATTTGTGTCTCTGTGTGTGCATGTAGTTCTGAGGGCCCAGGAGGCCCCAGGCGGCTTCAGGAGGCCCCAGGAGGCTTCAGGAGGCCCCAAGAGGCTCCAGGAGGCCGCAGGAGGCCCCAGGAGGCCCCAGGAGGTTTCAGGAGGCCCCGGGAGTTTCCAGGAGGCACCCAGGAGGCTCGGAGGCGGGGTCTGGGGTACCAGAGGGTACGTCGGTGCTCGATGTTGGGAGGATGTTTCAGGCGAGACCGCCATTCTCTGCGAATCGGAGGCTTAATGTTAAACTGTTGAAATTCCCATGTGTTTTTGGACCCTGACGTCACGATCTGCGTGAGGGGGGCCGCTGATTCTCAGAATTTCGAGGATGTCCCTAGCGAAACGGCCAGAAAAATCGCGGACGCGGCGCCCCGCGTACGCATTAATCGCTTTTGAGCTCTACTCCCTCGGAGAGGTGCGTATGAGAATCGCCTTCTATATTGCGCAGCGCCGCATGAGCCCGCAGGCGAGTCTTCTCACTGATCACAAGAGCTTGTTGCTGTCCTTGGAGAAGGGAGCTGAAATGGCGCGTGGCCCTTCCGAACCCTTTTTGTTCGAATCCTGGCGGCTGATCTTCTGGAAATCGAAGACGTGGGCGGCGCGACTGCGAGCTGGTTTGGATGCCGTCGCATGAGTCCATTACTTGGCTGAGTAAGAACGGTCTCCGTCTCCACTGGCATGCGTGGAGTTTTGAGGCCGACAGGCACGCCAAGTTCGGAGCCATGAATCACCCTTCCAATCCTCATGTTCTTGATCGTTTGAAGGCTGCTGAAGCGTTTAGGCATAAGTTCGCGTGTCTCCTGCCAGGTGTTTTTATTTAGTATCAGCAATATATTATTGTCGGATGTAAAAGGCATGGCAAAGGCCAAGAAAGAGGCCTGACCAGCGTGGCGTCGCAGGTGAACTGGTGCGTACTTACCGCTCGAAATACATATATATATATATATATATATACATATATATATACAAACATCGGGCAACCCCGCCACAAGAAAGGTAAAAGGTGGGGCGGTAGGATCTGTGGCCAGGGCTCGGGTGGAAACAATCGTGTCACCAGTCAGCCGTGCCCGGGACCCCCGAGAATGATTGCCAATGCCAACCGCCCCACAGGATGTGGTTGTATGGGCGCACGTTCTTTTTGCGCCCGTTGTGGGAAGCATGGCACGGATCAGGTGAAGGGCTCGACCAAATAGCGCCCCACAGGCCAATGGGGCAGGAAAACCCTAAAGGAACGAAGATGGTGGTGGGATCCAACCAGCAAGATGGTGGTGGGGACCGTTTCCCGGTCCGCTAAGCCTTTTTTTTTTTTGCAGAGCAGGTCATCTTTTCACTTGTGAGGAACAGACTTGTCCGAGGCTCCAGAGTCTCCACATGATAAGGAGGAGGAGGGGGGGTAGAAGGAGGAGGAGACGGACGAAGAGGAGGAAGAGGAGGACGAGGAGGACGAGGAGGACGAGGAGGACGAGGAGGAGGAGGAGGAGGGGGACGAGGAGGAGGACGAGGAGGGGGAGCTGGACGAGGAGGAGGAAGAGGAGGACAAGGAGGAGGAGGAGGAGGACGAGGAGGAAAACGAGGAGGAGGAAAACCAGGAGAAGGAAAACGAGGGGAGGAGGAGGAGGAGGAGGAGGAGGAGGAGGAGGAGGAGGAGGAGGAGGAGGGAGGAGGAGGAGGAGGCGAGGCGGAGGCGGAGAGGCGGAGGCGGAGGCGGAGGCGGAGGCGGAGGAGGCGGAGAGAGGCGGAGGCGGAGGCGGAGGCGGAGGCGGAGGAGGAGGAGGAGGAGGAGGAGGAGGAGGAGGAGGAGGAGAGGCGGAGGAGGGCGGAGGGAGGAGGAGGGAGGGGAGGAGGAGGGGAGGAGGAGGAGGAGGAGGAGAGGAGGAGGAGGAGGAGAGGAGGAGGAGGAGGAGGAGGAGGAGGAAAAGGAGAAGGAGAAGGAGAAGGAGAAGAAGTAGAAGAAAAAGAAGTAGAAGTAGAAGAATAAGAAGAAGAAGAAGAAGGAGGAGGAGGAGGAGGAGGAGGACGAGGACGAGGAGGAGGAGGAGGAAGAGGAGGACGAGGAGGGCGAGGAGGAGAGGACGAGGAGGAGGAGGAGGAATCTTAAGAATAATATGAATATTCATACGAAGAGGAATCATATTACTAATATTAATAATAAGATGCAGGATATGATTACTACTACTACTACCTACCAGCCTGCCTGCCTGCCTGCCTGCCTGCCTGCCTACCTACCCACCTACCTACCTATTACTACTACTACTACTACTACTACTACTTCTACTACTACGACTACTACTTCTACTACTACTACTACTACTACCACCACTACTACTAATAATAATACTAATACTTTTAGTAATGATAATAATACTAATGATGTTAATAATCGTAAGGCTACTGATCATACCAATACTATGGATAATCATCAGCATAAGAATAATAATAAGCATAACAAAATTGATACTGATCAGAAGATGACTGCTAATACAAATAATAATAATACTAATATTAATAAGAATACGAATAATCAAACGACCCATAATCATAATACTAATACTAATAAGAAGAATACGAATACTAATAATAATAAGAAGAAGAAGAAGAGGGCGAGGATGATGAGGAGGAGTTGGGAGGAGGGAGGATACAGGAGGAGGGAGGATTTGTGAAAAGGTGGAGGAGGAGGAAAAGGGGGGAGGAGGGGGAGAAAGGGGGCGATGGGGAGAAAGGGGATGAGGAGGAGAAAGGGGGAGGACGAGGAGACAGATGCACGCGGGATCGGTATCTTACCTCCCTGCCCGCTGTCGTTACCTCCCTGCCCCGCCAGCCACGCGCGGCCGCCCCGCCGCCGCGGCTTGGCCGCCCATGGCGCCGCCGCGGGCGCTGCCGCTGATGCTGGCTGGCGCGCCGCTGGCGGCGGGCGCACCGCCGCGGCAGCCCCGCGGCAGCTACCTGCGGGTGCCGGAGGCGCCCTGGACGGACGGGTGGTGGCGAGGAGTGTGGGCAAGGCATGGCAGGGCAGGGAGAGGGAGGGAGGTGGGGGGGGGGGGGGGGGGGGGGGGAAACGATGGGGAGGAGGAGGAGGAGGAGGAGGAGGAGGAGGAAGAGGAAAAGGAAGAGAAGGAGGAGGAAGAAGAGGAGGAGGCGGAGGAGGAGTCGGAGAATGAAGAAACAGGGGGAGGAGGAGCAAGAGGAGGAGGAGGAGGAGGAGGAGGAGGAGGAGGCCCAGACCCCGGACATGCCCGCGCGGGGATGAAATCAAGGTTGTGTGTTGATGCCGTTGTTTCGGCCTGTGGGGGCCAATCGGCGGGCCAGGGGGCGGCGAGGTCCCGAGGTGATCCGCGTGTGGCGCACCTCCGCTGTGCCTCCCAGGAGCCCGCGAAAGTGGCGACAGTTGCGCAGATCGCAGCCCGACGGCACGAGAGAAGAGGAGAAAGGGAACACAGGAAACAGGATAGAACTGGGAGAGCCCCCTCGCGGCGCCCATCGCCGCCCCTGGCGCGCTCCGCGCGCCCTGGGGCTTGGGTCGGTTTTCTGCTGGATGCTTGTTTTCGCCGCGACTTCAGATCTCAGGGCATCGTCATGAAGCAGGCAGGTCTTGACTGAGGGCACAGGTCCTGCAGAAAACGTCGGTTTCGGCTTCTAGGGGCCCTCCCTGGGCTCCAGAACCTTCGAAGAAACTTACACGGGGGGAACCACTGGTCCTGGGAAGGGTCACGTGGTCCAGGGCCCGTGTTCTTCGGGACGCTGGTTGTTTATGCCGAGGGGGGGGGGAAGCGGAGGGAGGTCACATGAGGAACAGATACCGATGTGGCTGCTTGTCCTGGAGGATCTCCGTCGCCGATGACGGGTTCCTCTGGTGATTCTGGCTGGGCAGCACCACAGGCGAGGTTTTGGGAGTGGCGGCGTTGGTCTTTGTCTGCCCTCCTGGAGGTAAACGGGGACGAGGACGAGCAGGAGAGGAAGAGGAGGAGGAGGAGGAGGAGGAGGAGGAGGAGGAAGAAGACGAGGTGCTCCTGTCGAGCCCCCACAGAGGGAGCCAGGAAGGCCATCCAGAAATTCACCCGAGGTAGGCTTCCGCCAGGTCCCAGAGCCTGGCCCGACGGTCCCACGTGAGGCTCGTCATCGGCTGCCCTCACGCGGAGGTGACGAAGCAGCTGCCGAGGCGGGCGTGCACGGAGGAGGACGAGGTGGAAGAGTCCAGGGGTCACCTGGCTCCAGTTTGATCGCCCCCGTTCAGGGCCGATCGGCCCGGGGCGGGGGAGGCTACGAATGACGCTCTGTTTGGCCACCAGGGGCGAGGAACCAGGCGGAGGACGAAAGAGGAGGCAGGGACGGACAGAGGGAGGAGGAGGGGGATAGAGCGCGTTTCTTTATTGCTTGGGACAGAATGCCCAGTATCGCCGAAAAGAAAGAACCGCGCTCATAGGGAGACAGGAAGGACTTGGAGGGGGCGAGGACTCCAGCGCACCGCAGCAGCTCAAGCTCCAGAGGCCGAGAAGCCAGGGTTGGGCTGCAGGGCCTGAGGGCAACCACGATCAGGCATCAACCCAGCTTCGGGTGCTTTCGGGGGGGGCAGGGGGGGGGGGGCAAGGGGGTGAGGACGGCGAGGCAAGAGGATTAGTTGGAGGACCAGACTGCGCCCAGCGATCAGGTATCAATGATGCAACGCGCCCTCCCGCCCCAAGTTCCCTCCCCGCTGGCCCCTGCAGGCGCGCGCGGTCGCTGCGCGAGGCGCCCCCTTCGCAAGTCGAGCGCCCTGGGGCTTTCCGCTTTGGAGGAGGCCGCCCTCCGTTTCTTCGAACTTCTGAAGCCTTCGGCTGCGCAGGGTTTTTGAAGTTCACAGAAGGGCCCGGCGACGGCCCAGATTCCCAAAGTAACCGCCCTGCGTCCGTGCAGTGGTTGCTCCCTCCTCCTCCCCCTCCTCTTCCACCTCCCCATCCTCCTCACCCTCCTCTTCCTCCTCTTCCTCCTCTTCCTCCTCCTCCTCCTTCTCCCACTCTTTGTCGTCATCCTCCTCCTCATCCTCCTCTTCTTCCTCATCCATCATCATCCTCATCCTCATCCTCATCCTCATCCTTCTCCCCATCCTCTTCTTCCTCTCTCTTCCTCCTCCTCCTCCTCCTCCTCCTCCTCCTCCTCCTCTTCCTCCTCCTCCTCCTCCCTCCTCCTCTCCTCCTCCTTTTCCTCCTCCTTTTCCTCCTCCTCCTCCTCCTCCTCCTCCTCCTCCTCTTCCTTCTCCCTCCTCCTCCTCCTCCTCCTCCTCGTCCTCGTCCTCCTCCTCCTCCGCCTCCTCCTCCTCCTCCTCCACCCCTCCCCGTCCCCCTCCCCTTTCTTTTCCCTCCTCCTCCTCTTTCCTCGTCCTCCTCATCCTCTTCCTCCTCCTCCTCTTCCTCTCCTCCTCCTCGTCATCCTCCTCTTCTTCCTCCTCCTCCTCCTCCTCCTGTCCTCCTCCTCCTCCTCCCTCCTCCTCCTCCTCCTCCTCCTCCTCCTCCTCCTCCCCTCCTCCTCCTCCTCCGTCCTCCTCCTCCTCCCCCTCCTCCTCCTCGTCCCTCCTCCTCCTCCTCCTCCTCCTCCTCTCCTCCTCCTCCTCCTCCTCCTCCTCCTCCTCTTCCTTCTCCTCGTCCTCCCCCCCTCCTCCCGTTCCCCGTCCCCCGCGGTACTGATGGGCCAAGGTATGAAACCGAGGTCGGACCGGGAGTGCACCTTAATCTTGTTGGTGCTTGTTGGACGTTCTTGTACATGTTGGGGGAGGGTGGCATCGAGTGATCGCATGGTTTGGCATGTTTTGGCAAGCGGAAGGTCTCATGTTCTTGAAGGGTGCTGTTCTGTCCTAGGTCCGACTGTACGAAGTCTCAGGCGAGAGCCCGTTGTTGACAACGAGGCCGCTCTCGGGTCGCTTTTGATACGGACGTCTTCATGCGAGAGTTCCATTTTGAACGCGTGATGGCCTCGTTCGGCGAAGCTGCTTGGCAGTTTTGGGACGAGTGTGCACGGCTCCACGGCGAGAGTTTCATGTGGAAAATGGCGGGCCACCCATCCGTTTGATTGTCGGAAATGTGTGAGGCGAAAGTGCGTGGCGCTAAGGCGAGAACAACATGTTGAAAACCACTGGCTCTCCATAGTTGAGTGATACTTGTAAAGATTGGGGCATTCGAGTCGCAGGCGGCACGCTCAGACGGGCATACGAGCGAAAACCGCATGAACCCTTCCAATACTCAACAGCCACTTGCTCATTTTATTGCACATGTGTTTGTGTAGTTGTGAGGGCATATCGAGGACATTCCCAAAACAGTGTGCATTTGGAGGAGTGCTCTCTCTGAAAAACGTGTTTGCACCCCCATGGGTTCTTATTTGTCGTGTCGTGACATGGACATGGGGATCGGTCTGGCGGCTATGTAGTCGTCGTCGCCGCCCCGTCGCCGCCGCGTCGCAGCCAGTCGTCTGGGCCAAGGGGCCAGTCTGGCGGCTATGTCGTTGCCGTCGCCGCCCCTTCGCCGCCTACATTCTCCTTTCTAAAAAAGGAATAGACTCTACCCCCCCCCCGGACTTATCCGTTCCCCCTGGGATAGTACGATTTCGCATATGTATATATATATATATATATATATATATATATATATATGTTTTGCGCACTCGTCCATCCTAAATATGAAATCATACCATCCCAACTAGGCTGGTTCCCCGCCTGAGGTTCCCTTGTAACAAAACACTATGCTGTGACATTTTTTGTTCTGACATGACACTTTTTCCACGAACCTCTTACAACAAATGAGACGAAGTGCACACGCGCGCGTCGTCGCGCGCGCATGCCGAAATCCTTCAAAAACTTGCAAAAACCATAAAACATACAAAAACACAGGGTTTCGTAACACAGAGTTGCTAAACACACTTTTGCAAACGCTCTTGCGAAATCTTAAGACAACCATTGGTTTTTTTCAAGATGGTCACAACATGCTACCAAACGGGCTTCGCGCGCGCTCATGTCGAAATCTGTCGAACGCCGCTGCGCGCGTGCCGTCGCGAGAATTCCCTGCAAAAACATGGGGCGAAGTGCAGACGCGCGCGTCGTCGCGCGCGTATGCCGAAAACCTTCAAAACCCATCGGTTTCGGAAGGATTTCAAAATCGTGTGCCCCAAAAAACAGACAAAAACACAAGGTTTCGCAACACGGGTTTTCAACAAAAGCGTGCGCGCGCGCTCTTGCGTCGTCGTCGTCGTCGTCGCCGTCCTCCCTCCTCCCGCGTCGTCGTCGTCGTCGCCGCCTACGTCGTCCTCTGTCTTTCCTCGTGTTCGTCGTCGTCGTCCTGTTTGGCGTCGTGGTCGTTTCCGTCGTCGTTGTCGCCGTGGTCGTCCTTCCTCCTCCTCCCTCGTCGTCGTCGTCGTCGTCCGTCGTCGGCGTCTCGTCGTCGTCCTTCCTATTTCGTCGCCGTCGTCGTCGTCGTTGTTGTCGCCGTCGTCGTCGTCGTCGTCGTCTTCCTTGTTCCCTCGTCGTTGCCGTCGTCGGCGTCGCCGTCCTTCCTCTTGTTTCTTCGTTCGCGTCGTCGCCGTCCTCCCTCCTCCCTCGTCGTCGTCGTCGTTGTCGCCGTCGTCGTCCTCCCTCCTCCCTCGTCGTCGTCTTCGTTAGCGACGTCGTTGTCTTCGTCGGCGTCGTCGTCGTCGGCGTCGCCGTCGTCGTTGTCATCGTCGTCGTCGTCGTCGGCGTCGTCGTCGGTGTCGTCGTCGTCGTGGTCGCTGTCGTCGTCGAAGTCGTTGGAGACGTCGTCGGTGTCGTCGTCGTCGGTGTCGGCGGCGCCGTCGTCGTCGTTGTCGTTGTCGTCGTCGGCGTCGGTGTCGTGGGCAAGTGCCACCTGGTACCTACCGTCACGGTCTTGTCTTAAGAGGTCTTGCGACCAAGTTGCGGGTGGGAGGGTGTGATGTTTGCACGGGCAGTGGAGAGGACAGCTTCAAGACGGTCAAAGTGAATTGCACACCGTAGATTGCACCACACAGACTGCGCCGCATAGATCGAACCAAACAGATTGCACCACATATATTGCACAACGTCGATTCTTCTGTCTACAAGAGTAAGATGGTGTCCCCCCTCCCCCCCGACTTAACGGGTCTCCTTCTAATACAATTTACATACGCTTATCTGTTGCAAAACAAAAAGGATGCGCTCTCGTTTATCCAAATCATAAGTTTACAAAAACCCCTCGCGCGAAATGGGGCGAAGAACTTAGCGTGCGTCGTCGCGTGCGCGTGCCGACATCCTCCACAAACCTATGGGTTCAAGGGTTTTATCAGAGAGTGCCCCGAATGCATGACGTAAACATATGATTTTCCAACGCGGGTGTTCAACAAAACCAGATTACGTTCGCATTCTTGCGGGTTCTTACGGGATCCATCGTCTGTTCAATGTTGCCATAACACATTGCCAAACGTGCTTATCGCGCGCGCATGCATGAATCTCAAGAGCGCCATGGCGCGCGTGTTGTCGCAAAAACGTTTTGCAACGAATGGTGGGGGTCACGATCCGCGACAACTAATATCGCGCGGGCCACCCTCGCGCGTCGAGCGCGCGCGCATGCCAAACCCTTATTTTCGCAAAAACTTCATCTCCGACGCGAGGGCGCCGTCACCGTCGTCGGCGTGATCAGCATCGGCGCCGTCACTGGCAGTGCCGCCGTTGTTATCAGCATCGCCACCAGCATCGGTGCTACCAGCGTCGCGTCTACTGTTGTCGACGTTGCCGTGCTACTGCGCCCGCCCAAGTCGCCGACCCGTGCGGAAGTGCCCGATGGGGCGCGCCCAGCGGTCAGCGCTACCGCGGCCGCGTCGCTCGCGCCAAACTCGCTGGCCGTTATGCGCGCGAGCGCGCGCGGTAGCGCGGCCGCAGCGATTTGCCAGCCAACGCCGAGCAGGCGCGGCGCCTTCGCGCGCGTGCTGTCGCGAGAACCCTTTGCGACAGAAGGGGCGACGCGCGCGCGTCGTCGCGCGCGCGGCAATATCTTTCAAAGACCGCAGGCTTCGCGGGGGGGGGGGGGGGCAAGATCAAGCGCCCCGAACACATGTAACAACATGATGTTTCGCAACATCCGTTTTCAACCGAAACCTGCGCGCGTTGTTGCGAATTCGTCAGTGAGTCATCGTTTTGTTCAAGGTTGCCGCCAACTTCTGCCAAACGGGCCTTTCGCGCCGCGCGCCGAACTCACCCCGGCGCCCGCGTGCGCGCGTTTTTTCTTTTTTTTGGAGGGGGCCCGATCCGCGTCTCAGAATGCCGCGGGTCATTCGCGCTCGTCGACCGCGCGCGCGCGTCGAGGCCCCTCCAAAATCTTCGCCGCCGACCCGAGGACATCGCCATCGCTCGCGGCGCCGCAACCTGGCATTGCCGTCGTCATCGCCACCGTCGTCACCATCATCGCTGTTCTCGTCATCGCCCCCGCCGTGTTCGTCGTCGCTACGACGTCGCGCCCGCCCAAGTCAACTCGCCGACTAGCGCGGAAATGCCCCCTGGGAAGTGCCCGGCGGTCATTGTCACCACGCCCGCGTCGGTCTCGCCGCGTTGCCGCCGCTGCGCGCGCGAGCGCGCGCGGGCCAGCGCGGCCGCAGAGATGCGACAGCCAGCGCCAAGCATTCATTGCAATTGCCGTCGCATGGGCATTTCAAACCAGGTTGCGGGTTGGTCGGCGAGGCGATTGCGCGAGCTGTGGCGTTGATGGCCCGCATCTAGTGCGCAACGTAGATTGCACCGCGCACATTGCACTACATCGGTTGCATCACTTCCATCGCGCACCACACACATTTGCACTACATGTATTGAACGACGTAGATTGCATAACATTGGTTGCGCCACATTGATTGTTCATTCTCAAAGGGCATTCGGATCCGCCTCCCAGACATAACGCACGCCTTCTCTTCGCATTGAAAATTTCATATGATTCAGAACCATCGTCCATCCGATATATAAACCCATATCATTCCAGCTAAACCAGCATCTCCCTTTCCCTCATCCTTCGCAGCGAAAGCTACGCGCGCGCACTCGCTTATCAATATGTATTTGTTTTTAAAGAACCCCTTGCAACACACCGGGCGACATGCGCAAACACGCGCCGTCGCCAAGAGATGCTGCAATTGTCCAAACACATGAGATTTCGCGCGGATTTCAAAATCGAGTGAAGTCGAGTGCCCCCGCCACGAAACCACCTTGTTCCGCAACAAGCATTTCTCCCGAAGAAATGTTTGCGCTCGGGCTTTTGCGAATTCTTCAGAAAACCACGTTGTTGTTCCAGTCCTTTGCAAACAAAAAACTTGTTTCGTCACTTGCTGCCACTCGGGCCTCGCGCGCGCGTGTCTGAATCATTCGAACGCCCGCCCTTGCGCGCGTGTTGTCGCGCAGATTCGGTGCAAATGAAACGAAGCGCGCGCGCATTCGTCGTCGCGCGCGCATGGCGAAATCTTTCAAACAACAGCGTTTCGCAGGGATTCCAAAATCGAGCCCCTCGAAAACAGATAGCAGGCATATGGTTTTTGCAACATCAGTTTTCAAAAGTGCCTAGGATCGCGCTCGTGCGATTTTGTGTTGGTGATTGTTTTAAATTGAAGCAAAAAGCCGTCGGGTTCCAACATGTTCATCACATTCGGATAAATCGGCCCGTCGCGCGGCACGTCGAAATCAAGCGAGCGTCTTTGCGCCTGGCCAAATGCGTGTCGGGGGGCGGGCACGATGCGTGTCAAATAACACCGCGCGGTCCGCTGGCGCGTCGGCCGCGCGCGCGTGTCGAACTCCTTCCAAAACCTTCATCACCGACGCGAAGACGCTGGTATCGTCGTCGGCGTGATCAGCATCGTCGCCGTCACTGGCCTTGCCGTCGTTGTTGTCAGCATCGTCACCAGCATCGCTACCATCATCATCGCGTGTACCGTTCTCAACGTTGCCATGAACCGGCCCTGCCCATGTCGCCGACTCGTATAGAAGTGTTTGCTGGGAAGTGCCCAGCGGTCAGCGCCACCGCGGCTGCGTCAGCCGCGCCAAAGTAGCTGGTCGCTGCGCGCTCGAGCATGCGCGGGGTAGCGTGGCCGCAGAGATGCACCAGCCAATTCCAAGAACTCATCGCAATTGCCGCCGCGTGGGTTTTGCAAACCAAGTTCTGGGTGGGTGGGTGGGTGGGTGGGATGATTGCGCGAGCAGTGGAGTGGACAAGTCACTGCGGTCAGCCATTTATTTGCACCACGTTATTTGCACCACGTAAATTATTCTACATCGGCAGCATAGTGCGGATTGCACAACACACGTTGCAAAACATAGATTGCACAACATCGTTTGCACCATCCATTTGGCACCACATAGATCGTCCCACGCCGGCTGCATCACGCCGGCTGCGAAATCGCACTGTTTTGGGCCCGCGCTGGTCGGCACGCGTCTTCTGAGGAGCCGAACCCGTCTGCGGGCCCGGGGGCCCCGTCCCCGCCCGCCGCCGCACCCGCTTCCTCGAGGCAGGGCCCGCCGGCCCGGCGGCCCCGTGTCCGCCCTTCGCCGCCGCCCCGCTGCACCGCGCCCCTCTGCTGCATGGTAGTCGCGCTGCGTTGCAGGCGCGTGCCGTTGCGCTGCCATCGCGTTGCGTTTTTTTTTTTGCGCCGGTCGGCAATCGCCCGGCGTTGCCCCCCGCATTGCGTTCGGCGTATACGCTGTCCTGCCTGAGTGTGGGGGGCGTGTGCACCAGCTCTGGGCGCAGGAGGGGCCAAGCCAGAGTCGGCGTAACTAGGTGTGCATAGTTGCCGTTCAGGGAGAGAGAGAGAGAGAAAGAGAAAGAGAGGGAAAAAAAACAGAGAGAGAGAGAGAGAGAGCGAGAGAGAGAACAAGCAAAAAGGGAGATAGACAGATCCTTTCTTCCCCTCCTCAAGATAGGACCAGGGCCCTTTGAAAACCCGCCTCTCTCCCTCCTCGTCCTCCCCATCTTCTGCCCGTCGTCCCCCCCCGTGGAGCACTCCGCCGGGGGGAGGTATGGGGATCCCCTCAGGTGCCTCGCCCGCCCACGTTCGCCCTCGCGGAGCTGCTGGCCAGGCTGGAGCACAGCCAGCTCGACGGGGATGGCGACGGAGGCTGGCCGACGCGTGCTGGCCAGGGACGGCGGGAGGCACGGAACGAGGAAGGAGAGAAGTCGAGCTGGGAGGAGCAGCGTTGATCAAGAGGGACGTCTGGGTAAAAAGAGTTTCGTTGTTTCGTTGATTTGGGTTTGCTTCGTTGCGGAAATGTTACAACTGGATAGAGGCTGGTCATAGATTTGGTCATAACCGGTCCGTTAAAATAGGGTTCGGCATAGAGTTGGTTCGTTAGATAGAAATTCTTTTTAAAACAAGTAATTTAGACATTTAGAGGTTCTTTGTTTGAAGCGAGCAGTTCTATGCCTGCCCTTGTTTAAAAGAACCAGTTATATGTCCATTTCTATCCACTTGTACCAGCTGTATCAGCTCCACGCACTTCTCCACGCTACGGGAAACCCTGGTGCTGCCAGGGCGCGCCGTTGTTTGGGCCCCGCGCGTTTTTGTTGTTTGGACCCCACGTTTCGTTTGATTTGCTTTGCCTTGTTTTGCGTTGCGTGTCCGTGGTTCGCATTGCAGTCTGTAGAGTGGGCATCATCGCCACCATCACCGCCATCATCACACGCGCCGTCGTCAACTTCACGCGCGACCACTGCTTTGCCTGGATTCCAATTGCATGGCCAGGGGTTTTATCATGGGGTCTCATCCACCTGGTCTTAAGGCCCTCATCCACCTGGTCTTAAGACCCTCACTGACGTCCGCTGAGGTGGTTCGTCCTTTTCGTTCGAGCTTCGATCCTCGATTGATATTATTGACGTCCCTTCAGGAGGTTTGGTGTACGACTTTGGTGGCGCCTCCCTACGCACCAGTTTAGGGCCAGTTGATCCACCCATGGCAGCTGGCTCAGTGTCCTGCCTGGTTGCCTCCCTGGCCACATCCTGGTACGACCCCCGCGCCATTTTGGCTGCGCCCCAACCCTGGTTGGTTAATTCGCATACCTGGTGATACAGCTCCCAGGTTATTCGCACGTGTGCAGCTTCCTGGCAGCCCCCAGCAGCTTGCAGTTCCCACCCCCGGCGCTGCCGCACAGCCTCGGCGCAGTCGCTTCCCCCGGCGGTAGGTCCTGCTTTGCTCCGCGCGCGCGCCGGTAATTAGTTCCGCTCGTAGCCCGAGCCGACTCGACTCGCCGCTGGCGCTTTCGCCTGCGGTTGCGACCAAAAAAGTATACCCACCGGTGCCCTTCCCGGTCCTCCGCGTTTTCTGAGCCGCAGCGTAGTTCGCTCCTGTGCGCTTGGTGCGTAATTTAAGCCGTTGCATTGCTGCTTCGTTCTAACGGCGCGCGGCTGTACCGCTTGCGCTCGCGACCAAAAAGTAGACCCACCGGCCCAGCCAGAAACGATCGCCACGCGAATTGCTCCGACCAGGGAAGCGTAGAAGCATGCAGTGGAATTGTCCGCTGAGGTGGCTCGTCCTATCGTCCGAGCTTCGATCCTCGATTGAAATTTCTCCAGCCCCATCCAGTCCTCCAACCATCTCCAAGCCTCCACCCCCTTCCAACCCCGTCCATACCGATCCAACCCCGCCCGTCCCCCTCCGACCCCCTCCAGCCCCCATTTGACCCGATCCAACCCCCTTCCATCCCCCTCCAGCCCCCTCCAGCCCCCTCCAACCCCTTCCAACCCCCTTGCTGGGCCTCGGGACCATCGAGAACGACTCGGGATGAAGAACCTGCCTTGGGAAGAAAACGTTCGGGACCTCGGAGGACCGCGTATTGAAACAATCAAGCCATCGCATTTTTGGGCCCTTTGCTTTGCCCTTTACCATAGCATGTCCTTGCATTCCTTCCCTCGTTGATCATTGTCACTCCTGCCGAATACGGACGGCACAGGACCCTTCCGATGCACGCTGAGATCCCGCCGTATCGGTGCCGGCTTGTGTAGTCCCACTGGCCGCCAGCCCACGCAGATCCGGTGCCGAGGCGAGACTTGCCTTGATGAGGGACGTGTGCGCGCAAGCAAGCAGTGGGGAACGGATGGAGGCAGCTGTCAAACCGACACTTTCTCTGTACGTGCCGGCGGCAAGGATGTGCCGGGAGTGTGCGTCTTCGCGGCTTGTACACAGAAGGGCGAGAGGAAAGATGAATTGGAGGCGAGAATGCGAGGAGGCCCAAGCCATCGAACGGCGCTTTATGTCGTCAACGCTATTGGCCTCTCGAGGGTATCCTTGGAACGCTCCGTGGCCGCTCGAAGTCGTCTTGAAACCCTCCTGGGCATCCTTGATGTGTGCTAGAGGCAATGTTTGGCAATCTTGGCTCATCTTGTGCCGTCTTGGAGGTCATTTTGGGCTGCGTTGGGACCATCTTGGACCACCGTGGACGCTTGAACGCCTCGCGCCCCATCCCTCCGGAGCCAGGGAAGGGAAGGGGTAGGGTGAGGGATCAAGCTGCCCCCCCTCCCTCCTCCTCCTCCTTCTCCTCCTCCGCCTCCTCATCCCCCTCCTTCACTGTTACTTGCTCAATCTGAATACTACTCTCCTCTCCCCTGGTGACGTCCGGGAAATGTGCGGCCCCCCTCCGCGTACTTGTCTTTTACACAGGATTCCCGGGAGTTGGGTTTTCGCTTGGGTTTTTTGGTTCAAAATGCTGCTCTCGCTGAAGCGCTGGCCTCATTTTCGGGCTACCTCTCGTTCCGAATCGTGCTCCCGCTGCAGCGCTGGCCCCATTTCCGAGCTTCCGCTCGCTGCAGATGGCGTCATTATTTCCAGCGCCATGCCACGGCATGGTTTTCGGTCCTTCCAAAGAGGCTCCAAAATCTAGAAAATTGACCTGCGAAAAAACCATCGGAAGTGGATTACTCATTCGGTCTCGATTCCTTGATTTTTGGGGCCGTTGAAGCCCCACCCACTTTGGGGCTTCGCCGCGCCATGCTATGCCAGGCTACGCGTCCTCCGAATCGTGTTCCGGCTGCAGCGCTGGCCTCATTTCCGCACTTTCGCTCATTCCAAATCGTGTTCCCGCTGCAGCGCTGGCGTCATGATTTCCAGCGCCATCCCACGGCATGGTTTTCGGTTTTTCCAAAGAGGCCCCAAAATATAAAGAATTGTCCCCCGAAAAAACCATCGGAAGTGCTTAAATATTCGGAGTCGATTCGTTGATTGTTTGGGCCGTAGAAGCCCCGGGGAAAACGCCGATCCGACTTGACCCCGTGAGGGGTCCAGGGGCCCAGTGTGAGCCGATTGTTCAAGGAAGCCAAACCATCGAGCCTGGCAGCCCGCCGGCCTATTCCCAGACATTCGTCCTCGCCGCCGCAGCTTCCCCCGTCGCCGCCGCCGTCCTCGTCTGCGTCGTTGTCGTCATCGGCAATTCCTGTGCGTTCCCTGGAGCTTGGGGAAGTCTTCGGGCCATCCGGCACGCCTCGTGCAGAGCTGTCCGGGGAGCCCAGGGAGACTTGGAAAGGGGGTCGGGGAACGCAAGGCAACGTGTCGCAAGGAAGGGGGGGGCATAGGCTATTACAGTACCACTACCAGACGGCACTTGGCATTCGAAAGCGCCCACATCGGGCAGGCACGGTTGCGCAGGACATGGATCCGGGATTCCGGGCAGGCCTTCTCCTTTCGTACACGGGCCATTAACCCTCGAAGGCATTTTGTGCCAAGCCATTGCATGCAATGCGATGTTGCGTTGTGCTCCGCTGTGCGATGCCATGCTTTGCGATGTTACGTTTTGTGATGCAATGCCACACCACGCAATGCCAAGCCATGCTATGGCATGCTCTGCTTTGCCGCACTATTCTGCATCACGCTATGCCGTGCTTTACCATGCATCGCAAACCCTGTCGGGATCAATGCCTTGCTCGACATCAGCCTGTGCGCAGAAAGAGAAGATCTGCGCCATGGTAAGGGTTGGGAGGGAGTGGTATGACGACAGATATGACGCGAGAACACCTAGCTTGCCCTCCTCCCCCTCCTCCTCCTCCTCCTCCTCCTCTTCCTCCTTCTCCTTCCCCTCTTCCTCCTCCTTCTCCTCTGCCTCCTCCTCCCCCTCCTCCCCCTCCTCCCCCTCTCCCTCTTCCTCCTCCTCCTCTGGAACGGCCGTCTCGTTCACCCCCACCCGCCCTCCCACTGGCACCCGAATCTCAGCATGGGCAAGGGCCGCCATCGACAGTCCTCGGAAACCAGTGCTTACGCCTGCGAGGTGCGAGACGCCTGCGAGATGCGCCGTGCGTGCTGGGGCAACCCCAGCATCCTCGTCAAGTGGTCGCGGGGCGCCCGCGCACGATCAAAAGCTTGCTGCACAGTGTATGTTGAACATGCTCTTTACAGCGCCGATTGGCCCGCGCGAAGCAGGCCATATGCCAGCCCCCCCCTTCGCTGCAGCCGAAAACACAACTCAAAATGATGGGCGTGGTGCCAGCGCATGATCAGGCTTTTGTAGCGAATGTTCATTCATCTGGTTCGGTCATTGCTCTGGGTTTGCCCCCAGTCTGGTGGGGGAGGGGTGCAGAATAATCGAGAAGAGTGGTGAACCACTCCCCGAAGAAGAGGAAGGGGGTTGTACGAGGAAGTGCCTTATTCTTCCTACGCCGAGAGGGCTGGTGAGATTCCCCCTGTCTTCCTCAACCTCCTCCTCCCCCCTCCTTCCTCCTTGCTCCTTTGCGCTCCCTCTTCCGTCATCCCTCATCACCGTTCGTCCTTCTTCATCTTTCCTCTCCTCCCTTCCCTCCTCCCTCCTCTTGCCCCTGGTTCTTCCTCGCTTTGTCTTTCACCCTTCCCTTTCTCACATGTCCTCCTTTCCCTCCCCTCCCCACCCCTATTCTTGAGTCGGGCCTGTCTCTCTACAGGAGGAACATTCAAAAATGGTCAAACAGTAGTCTGGGGACGATGTTTCGATGATGTTTGTTTAACCATGTTGGGATATACTTTGGATTATTTTCGGCTGATTTGGAGTGTTTTTTGTCTATCTGCCTGCAGGGGGGCAGGCCCGACCTAATCCTATTCCCTCTCACCCCTTTGCGGAGGATGCGCGGTGACCCTGCCCCGTACCGCCCAGGCGCAGCGACTCCTCCAGCGCTCGCACCCTGCCACGCAGCGCGCACGGTGGTCAGGCACCGCTCGCCGATGGGCCCGACGGGCTCCGACGCGAGCAGCGGGAGAGTCGATTCTCGAGACTCGAGACGGGCCCATCGGGACACCCAGGCGCTCACGGAGCGATTCGAGCATGGGCCCACGGTGTCCCTACGCGTTCGACGCAAGCGAGGACGCGAACCTCTCACTGCGCCGCAGCTCGGACGGCGGCGCCGGAGCATCCGGGAGGCCTCGCTGGAGCTTCTGGCCAGAGCAGCACGTGCAAGGTCCTCATGCCAGGCGTGTGATGTTCGGCTGATCGTGCGGTCACCCACGTCGAGTGCACGGGCTCCGAATTGGGTCTCGAGCCATGTCCTCAGGACTGGCAGCACCTGGCCGGTGCATATTGCCAGTGCGGGGAACACGAATGTGCTCGGCAGTATCCAGCCGCACAGTTTCCAGCATTCAGCCCAGGCAAACTTGTTATAGCGGACGGCTGATTTCAACTTGTCCCCGCTTTCCACCCCGTCCCCATCCATTTCTCTTCCCCCACCGTTTCGGCCGATGCCCCCGCTACCTCCATTCAGTCTTCCTTTTTGGATGTTTGTTGTGATCTTGTTGTTGATGCTCATCCAGGTTAAGCCTCTGTCCTCCTGTTTCCCTTTGGCTCTTCTTTCTTTTTTCACTCTTCCACTATGCTCCGAAGCGTTACTATTTCGTCCCCCGTCACCAAAGGCTGCAGTGAGGGCGAGTTCGTCGCAGCCGTTGAGAGCGAGGTGATCCCGGGAACGATTAGCGCAGGGCACGCGTTGCGCGCATCTTTCTGATGCCACATGTCTCTACTTATGTTCATTGCATCCGCATTCGTGAGCGCGCGCCGCTTGGATCCACAAGAGTCCGCTAGAGCATGTCTCCTTCCTGGGAGTCGGCAAGGCCCATGCGTGCAGGAGCGGGAGGAGGATACGGAGCAGGAGAAGGGGAGCAGGAGATCCCTAGGCACTGGCCAGGAGCTTGATCAGCAGCGGGAAGAGGACAGGAAGAGAAGGAGAGTGTGGAGGAGGTGGAATAGGGAAGTGAGGAGGACAAGGACGAAGAGGAAGATGAGGAGTACGATGATGAGTACGGATGTGAAGCGTCTTGTGGTTCAGTCTGTGGGGAAGACGTTGAGCCGTTTCTCCATGGTTCTGCCGTCTCTGGTCGGGGCACCATCCGCTTGTGCATCGCTTTCTTGCTGTGACGTCTTTCGCGACTGGGCGCATGACTGGTGCGCCCCCAGTGCAATGCGCGATGCAAATCCACTCTGCTCTTTAATCAATACTTGCTACGCCACTGTGGTGAAGGTGACGCTGGTCAGCGAATGCGAAAACCTTACACGCGTGAATAACAACTGCTTGGAGCAATATTCCTCACAGCCATGTGCTCAAGCTCTACCGAGCGCTTTCGTGTGCCACATATGAGTCGTCATTTGTTACGTAGGTGCCGCTCGTCGTGGCATCGTGCGCTCGTCCATTGACGATGGTGTCTTCCCTCGTGTATCAATCCGACTCCTTGCGTGGAGTATGGCATCGATGCAGCGGCTCCAGGATGAGACAGGCGCCTTCGTAATCGCGACGGGCGGTTTGAATGATCGTGGCAGCTGCGGTGTTAGTGGCAGTACTGGTTGGCAGCTGATCCGCGACATCCTGCGGCGCTCGACCCTGGGCCACGCGCCGGAAGCAGTGGGAAGAGCTTCGCTTTGCTTTTTTATTCATTGTTTTGCCGATCGGCGCGGGCTCCAAAACCCTCCCTCCCACATCATGGAGTAGATCTTGGCTGTTTTTGGGGCGCCTGTTTCGAGCGGGTGGAGTCTCCCCCAGAGGCCGCACTCTTGCAGACAGTCGCACTGAGCAGAGGTCCGGAGCCAGACACCTCCCCTCCCCCCACCCGTTCCGCCCGATGTCGAAATGCCACATAAGAAAACGCTCACCAAGGGCTTCGCCTTCTGCCGCCGGCTCCCATATCTCGGAGCATGGGCGATGCAAGAGCTGTGCTGTGCGGCCTGGGTGCCGTCATGCATCAGCGTGCCAGAATCCATTAAAAACCCTTGGAGCATCGCAGATGTTGGCCTCTTGGGCCCCTCTTGGGGTGCTCTTGGAGCACTCTCGGGGGCCTCTTGAGAACCTCTTAGGTCATCCTGGGACCATCTTGGGCGCCTTGGAGCACTCTTGGGCCGTCTCTGAGGCGTCTTGTGCTGTCTTGGGGTCCTTTGATGAAGGACTGGCCTCGAAAGTTTGAATACTGCACACTTTACGAGGATGTATGACTTCGGGGACGCGAAGAAGGCGTCGTTGACGAGGGATCGTGGCTTCGTGGACGCAGCGATTGCATATTTCATTCGAGAGAGAGGGAGAGTATTGTCTCGCAGACTCGAAAATTTTGCAATTGGCAAGGAATGATGGTCTCGTGAGCGCGAACACCGCGTAATTTGCTTAGGTTTATGGCCTCGTGGACGCGAATATTGTATAGCTTACCATGGATTCTGGTCTCGGGGGCGCGAGATCTGTGCAACTTAAATGGGAGTAAGGTTTTGGGGGGGTGCGAGTCTAATATGTTTCTATGTGTCCCCGGACCCCAAGAAATTTTGAGAACCCCCCCCCTGGTGGTGCTAAGCGGGGCGCTTTTGGGCTTCCACCCCCTCGCGCGGACTGCAATCTCATCTGCAGTCGAAAAAAGCAGAACACAGGACTAGAATATGGGAGGCTTGAAACTGGAACTGGAGCAGGGAACGACAACGGGGCCGGCGGATTTGGGCCACGGTCGAAATGTATACAGTCGGGGCGCTGAAGAAGGAACCCTTTTCGTTGGGGAGGGGCTCGGTGTTCCTTGTTTGTTTCAAAGTTTGCCTCGGGTTTTCCCGAGGTTTTCCATGGGAAATCGAGGTTGAACTTATGGGAAAAAGGGGCCTCGTTCCTCATTTAGGGTTCCTTAGGTCAACGCCCCGACGGTGCACGGAAAGAGTTGAGACGAAGACAGACAGCAGTTCTTGCCCATTTCGAGCCGGATTCTTTCTGTCGGTGTCGCCGCGGGCGTTCTCCAGTCTGAGGTCAAAGCACTGCCCGTCCAACGGCGGCTGCCTGCTGGTTTGGGACAGCGTTTGCTGTCGGGCATTGTGTCGGCTTCCCTCCATTTGAGGCAGAAGACCGCCTGCCCAGAAGCGGCTGCTGTGGGTTTGGGGCAACATTTGTTGTCGAGCATCGGACCCATCTTTTCCGTGCCCGTCCCGGGCGTCCCAAGATGACGAGGAAGAGGAAGGGGAGGGGGAGGTCACGGAGGAGAGGAGCGCTCGCCGCGGCCGGGGGCCCATGGGGCTCAGGGGCGGGTTGAATGAACAGGCCTTCTGTCGATTGTTCCTCCTGTGAGGTGTGTTTCATCAATGTCGACCTTGGGGAACCCACTTCGGGTTCCCAAACCGTTGATACGTCGACTCGGGCCCATCCCACCACAGTGCTCGGGTAGTGGGTCAGAGGGCTCTTGAGTGTTCGTTGGGATCTCGTGTTACGTTTCTCCGGGTCATGTTGGAGGCAATTTTGAAGCCTGATGGGGACCCAGTCGGGCCTCTTTTGGGTCTCTTTTGGTCTTCTTGGTTCTTGGGGCTCTCTTGGGGTCTCTTGTGGCCCTCTTGAGGCGGAAGGCTAGAATTTCTGGTTTGTGGTCCCCCTCCGGGTTGGGAGCCTCTCTGAGCCGTCTTGGGAGCCTCTTGGGCCCTCTTGGGTGGGTCGTCTTGGGGCCCTCTTGGGCCCTCTTGGGCCGTCTTGGGCAGTCTTGGGGCCGTGTTGGAGGCGATCTTGGGGGTCACTTGGGCTGTCTTGGAGCCTCGTCATTCCGATAAGGCGAGAAAGCCAAAGACCTTCAAAATCTTACGAGAACCAATGATTTTGGCATCTTGGGAGGACTCTTGGAGTCCTCCTGGAGCGTCTTCGGGGCTTCTTCGGGGCTTCTTTGGCCGTCTTGGGCGTCTTGCAGCGATCTTTCGGCGCTCTTGGACCGTTTTGGGAGCCTCTTGGGGTCCTCTTGGCGCGTTTTGGGGCCCTCGATCCTCCCATGATGTGTTCGTCTGGGGGTCGTCCGGGGCTGGGGGGGTCAAATTCTCGGGTTGGGCTCCCTTGCAGGCGGGGGATAATGAAGGGGGAGAATCTCAGACGCCCGGCGACCAACAACGAGTCGGCGGATTTCCAGGGTTTCCTGATTGGATAAGAAAACGTTTGCCACGCCCTGACTGTACATGTGAGGTGGCGTGCAAGAGTATGCAAAGTAACAGCTTCACAGTGCCTCGGAGAGGTCGTTGTATTCTTTGCACCATCAGGTGCGAGGGACATCTGCACGGCTATCCGGAAGGAGGCGGGAGGAGGGAGGGATGTAGGGGGGAGGCGCAGAAGGCGAGAACATTTGATGTCTGTGTGGACGGATCCACTGCTGCTTCCTTTTGTGGGGAGTGCATCAAATTTTCGAAGGCCCACATCACTCTTCTGAACATCACTCTTGCCCCGAAGCAGCTCGGCTCAATGCCTCTTGCTGTGCAGTCGCTCCAGATCCGAATCCGAGCCAAGCGCACCGAGCCAGGGCACTGAACAGGAGAGAAGCCAGGTGCACGGAGCCAGTCGGTTCAAAACGTCACTCTCGCCCCAACAAATCTGCAGTTCTGGCTCGCGAGCACCCCCCCCCCGGCAGCAAGGCGAGGCGCGCCGCGGGCGAGGCCTGGAGCGCGGTCGATGCCAACTCCGACGGCCAGCTCGACCTCGACGAGTTGGCCGAG